TTTTTAAATTTAAAAATGGATCATCATAAAAGCACATAATCCAAATACTGAATTATTTGTATAAAGTTTTAGTAAAAGTTTGATTTGATTCAGTTTGCAAATAACCCAAGAATTTCATGCAAATGGTTGTCTGMTCCTTGTTGAGGTTAATGTTCATAAAAATCTATGAATCATTTCTTTAGTCTTGCTCTGACTAGCCATTAGCTCATCTTTCCAGTCAGAAACAAAGTGCCTTATTCAAACAGCTACTGTATCTACAGCAGGTAAGATATTCATTTTTCATAATGTTTCCACAGAACCACGCTTCAAAATGTCCATAATCTCCTTTTAAAACCACAAAAGCCAAATGATTTCACTTCACTGCAGCAGCTGTTTGACTCAGGATTCGGACAAAGATTCACATGATAAACACAAACTGCAGCCTTTGTTGCTCCGCTAACAGCACAATGTTAATGTTCGGCTGATGTTTTAGCTGCTGGCTTTAAAGGCAGGAGGTTAGAATGAACAAAAACTGATTTAAATTGTTTCTCTCTGTAGCCAGATGAAGGATTTTAAGGATAAAAGGAGCTTTAGAGCTTTCCTGGGTTAAATATTAAAATTTTAAAACAACAAAACGGATCAGTTTCCACCGTCAGCTGCTGTGAGGTTTCATCTTTTTTTTTTTTTAATTTATGTCTTCTGAAATAACTTCATAAACTAAATGTAGACATGTTTGAAGTGTGGCTCATCGTGTTCAGAACCTTCAGCAGGTTTAAATTAAAACAAACAAGTTRAAGCTCCGGTCCAAACTGGTCCTCCTGAGGCAGAGGAAACCTTTAATCACACCGTTGCAGAGGTCGGGTTCTGGCTCTGCTCAGGTTTGGGCTTCAGCTTCAAACGGCTGCCAGACGACAGCAGAGGCTCATTTGTCCCAAACAACAGCAGAAACCAACACGGTGCTGCCTGGTTGTTTAGTGACTTTATGTTTTTATCTACGTGTTGAACAGAAACCATCAGAGCCGTCTTCACAGAGGCCTCTCAGCTACTACCACACCAGACTTYAGCTCATCTGTAAAACTGWCTGAGCTGCAGACRGGTTTCTGTTRGCTCAGCTGTAGCCGGGGCAGCCTTCCTCAATCAGGCTGATTCCAAACGTCAGTCAGTCACAGGCGCACTGGAAAACGATTGATAAGAGACTTCACTTGGAAAAGCTGAATGTAAGACAGATTATCCTCCTTCAGGCTGAGCTTGTCATGACTGACAGCTGCTCAGAGTCTGAATATTTCAGATGGAAGCTGATGGATCATCAAAAATCACATTTTTCTTGTCTTCAGACTCAGTTACGTCCTTTGATATCAAACCAAAACGTTCTGCAGCTGAGATAATTCATGAAGGCAGACAGTGGTGGTTTGAGCCTGTAGAGAAATTGAATTAAAGAGTTTGAAGAGTCCACATCCTGCAGCAGACWGGAGGGTAAACGGGAACCTCAGGAGGTCTCAGCAGCTGAACTGCTGCTTCTTACCATCMATTATTGATGATTACCGTCTGTAAGTGTTTCAGGAGCTGGACTCAGACCAGTGTTTGTGGGTTTCAGGTGCATCGTGTACCACCTGGAGACCAGGATGCGTAAAGACGTGTGTTTCGGAGTGATCGCACTGACCTGGGTGCTGAGCGCCGTGCTCGCCAGCCCCCTGGCCATCTTCAGAGAGTACGGCTCGTTCACGCTGGAGCCTGGACGCACGATACAGGTACATACATGTTTACACACACACACACACACACACACACACACACACACCTAACAAACCTGACTGGTACATACCTGACCCTAAACCCACTGGTACATACCTAACCCTAAACCTAAACCCACTGGTACATACCTGACCCTAAACCTAAACCCACTGGTAAATACCTGACCCTAAACCCACTGGTACATACCTGACCCTAAACCCACTGGTACATACCTAACCCTAAACCTAAACC